ATATCTGGCTGTTCTTATAAAACCTGTTTTCAATAATCGCTCTATCTCTTTCTTAATCTCAGGGAGTACATTAGGAGCAAAACGCCTAGGAGGATGCCTATGAGGTTTAAAATTAGGCTTAGTTGGTAACCTGTGTTCCACCAAGTCTCTATCTAAACCAGGCATTTGTTCATATTCCCAAGCAAAACAATCTTTGTACTCTTTTAACAAAGCGATTAATTTATTACTAACCTCTTGGTCGAGCATCTGGCTGATGAACGTTGGGTGATCTTCTACTTCATCGCCAATATTTACTTTGATCAGAGGGTCTTGTACTTGAGCGTATCCAGGTTTGGCAATCTGCATCACTTCGTCATCCAGTTCTTTTGTAAGTACTTCCTCTTCCAAACAGTCCACCTTGTTGACTTCTCGACCAATACTTTGCTCTAACTCGAACACTGCCAACTTGTCTTTCAGCGCTTTTAGGGCAGTCTCTTCCTTTGCTTTGTTATTGCATTCTTTGTTGAAAGCCATCAGTCTGGCTTTGAAGGCCTAAATATCGGCCATTTGTTTTTGTAACTCAGAATCCATTCAAGATTTCTTGATTATTCTTTGCCAATCACTGGCTCTTCCAGTGCCACCATATTTGGCCTCATCTGTTTGAACATCTCAGTGAGTGCGTCCACTGAGAATGGTTCTTCGCTTTGCGCGACAACTTGAGTTTCTTCCCCGTCTTGTACCACTCTGACAGGTCCATAGTTTCCTTCGTACATGAACTTTTCCACCGAGTTTGCTTCTGCGACAAAAGGCCTATGATCGGCCTGTACCACCTCTACTTCGCCTTTGTCATTCCAAAAAATCAGGCATTGATGGAGCGACGAGGGTATACAGCGACTTCCGTGTATCAAATCTCTTCCTAGGAGCACGTTGTAACTAGTAGGACCATCTATTACAAAGAAGACAATGGTCCTAGTAGTCGTACCTATAGTTATGTCTAATGGCATAACTCCCTTAGCTGAAGTTGCTCCTCCATTGAAGCTAGTGAGGATGACTTCTGTAGGAATCATATCACCCTCTGTCTTTGCGAACTTTCTCATCATCCTAGATGGAATCGTGTTTATAGCCGCTCCATTGTCGACAAGCACTTTTGCCACTGGGACGCCGTTAACTAGAGCTTTAACGTATAACGGCCTCAAGTGTTTAGTCAATTTCATGACTGGACGTTTAAAAATAACCTTTTCGGCAGCCTCTATTTCTACCTCTTGCTTGTTTTCTGTCGAATTATCCCCTTGTGACAAGTCGACGTGCAGTATATTACGTCGACCCTCTGTCCTCTGAACTTCCTTCTTACTTTTTTCTAATGCTTCCTCATCAGTTATCCAACCTGTGGGAGGGGGCATTATTCTTGGAGGTGACCCATACTTTTCAGAGCGAGGTACTCTCTTCTTCCTTTTGGGTGTCCCGTACAGTACGTAGAAATCGAAAGGACGCCCAGATGGCTCCCCCAACAAGTCTACTTCGCGAACTCCCTCTTGATGTAGTTGCTTGAACAGAGTATTGCGCGATACTCCTCTCTTTTTCCTTTCTGCTTCTAGGTCGATTTCTTCTTCAATGTCCGTCATCCCATCGTCTTCTTCGTCGTTGTAGGCCTCTCCAGAAGTCTGGCCTTCTTCACATATCAACACGCAGGCTTCTCCTTCGTTGTCCTCCCCCTCTTCTTCCTTTTCCTTATTCTTGAATTCATTGGCCAGTAGGTAATTATTGGCCACGACAGGAGGCAATGTACCGAATTGGATAGCAAGGGGCTGATCTGGGTCTTCTTCATCCCTCTTGTCCCTCTCAAACCTTGATCTCCCAGAAGAGGTTTCTTTACTACCTTTGAGGACGTTTTGATTAGCTACCTTGAGTAGTATAGGCGCTTTAGGATGTGGCATTTCTTGTTGCTGCCTCATCATCCGTCCGTAGTTTCGTTGGAAACGCCTTTGTTGGGTCCTAGTCATCTCATCGAAGGGTATTGCCCTTCCTGCACTATACTGGAATGAATGCCATACATTTGGCCGGCAAGGTTGCGGCCTAAATGTTCTTCCAGTATCTGCTGGTCTGAACTGCCTTTCAAAAGGCGGTCCTCTATAGAATGATGTATCTCGCCCTCTACCAGGCTGAATGTTTGGGAAGAAAACAGGGCGATGAGGATGCTGCCATGTCCCTGGTTTCTCCGTGTTTCCATTTAATTCCCTTTTACACCTTGCACACGGGACGTCTTCGTCCTTTTTTGGTTCTTTTCCTTTGATTCGTTCAAAGACGCTGGGATGTGGTCTAGGATCTTCTTCTCCGTCATCTACGACCAACTTGAATTTTGGTAACTTGTTCTTGAATCCAGATATTACCATGTTTACTCCAAGTGGCTGTGGGAAAGGATTCTCGTCCACTGCCATCTTTTTCTTATCATCGAATGTAATTCGTCCTGATTCAATAGCATCCTGCAATACATGACGGAAAACCAAGCAATTGTTAGTCAAATGTGACCATGCATTATGCCATTTACAATATTTTTTACCCTTAATTTGTTCAGGGTTTGGCAATTTGTGCTTATCGCTCAATCTTATCTGCTTATCCCTATATAATTTGTCGAATATAAGGTCAGCTTTGGTCACATCGAACGAGAACGTTCTAGCCTTTATGTTTCCATCCTTTATGGGCTCATCTTTGCCCGTTGGTCTAGGCTTGGCCATTATGGGACAAGTATATGTATCCCCTTTGACCAATTCGGCCAAACACATTTCGGCCTGATCGTATGACTCGTCGTCGATGGTATGAACGTCGAAATTCGGGTCTTTGTAATAAGTCCTTTTACTAGAATTTTTCATCTGTTCCTCTTCTCTTATCAGTCGCTCATACCTAATCACATTTGCACTCAACTGGAAAAGGTCAGGGAATTCTTTGTCTTGGAACTTCTTTTTTAAATCAAAGCTCAAGCAGCCTTGAGCGATTTTGACAAATTCCTTTTCGGGCAGAGGTACAAAACACTTGCTTCTTGCTGTTTTGAACCTTTGGAGAAAACNCTTTGCAATGTGAATCGCCCTATGTGTTCTAGAGTAGACACCTCTCCTAAACCGGTAAACAGTGAGAATTCTGGCATTTTGTATCATCTAGGCCATGGATATGCTTGATCTACCCAATCAGGATATGGCTTTGTGTACGTCGGCCTAATGACGGGACGCACCCCAAAAGCCATCTGATCCTGTACGATTTCAATAATCTGATTCCTCAACATGACGTTGGGGTCATATGGAATCCCTACAGGTTGGTTAACCGGTTGGTTTGCATGAGGCCTGATGTTTGATCCTTGATTGGCAACAAAGTTACCATGATTAGGGCCATTACCATTAGCCTGAACATCTACTCCCTCATTACCACGTGGAATATTCTGTCCATTGTTTAGGACATTATCTCTCACGTTTGGATTACCCCCCAAGTTAGGCATACCACTACCATTATTTTGATTTGGTACTGTAGTACCCCCTTGGTTTGAAGTAGAGGGACCAGAAAGTGGTTCTACCCCTTGACTCGGATTGGGAACTGAAGGATTATGTCCTCCAATTGTCCTAATTTGAAAGTGACTTGTAAGAGGTATAGCCGGTTGACATATTTGGCCCACTAACTTGTTCATTGTTTCATTCAACGTTTTTAGTTGTTTGGCCATGTTGTCATAGTGTACATTCCCATTTTGTGTAAATCTTTCCATATTATGAATACTTCGAAGATTTACCTGTTCAACGACGTCTTGCGTGAGTTCTCCGAGTAATGCACGCATGGTTCGAGGACTCAACTCCGTCATTGGTTCGTAACAACTGTTACTGCTTTGATTTTGTCCATCTGTTCGTGGAGAGGCATGCTGCTCCTCATATCGCTCGATTACAGACTGGATTCCTCCCTGACTTGCTCCTTCCTTGTCGGATCTCTGAGGCATATTGTTTCACCTTTTGTACTTTCAACACCTAACACCACTGTCCCACCGAGCGTGCCAAATTGTTTCGCGCGGGTTAAGTCGCTAACAATTAAAAAGGATCAGACGATTGTGTAAGGAACGAAACCTCTTGAGACAAAGTCCCAAAAATGGGTGTTCTTTTATTGGCGATGAACTTTACAATTGGGAATGAAAAACAACGTGCCTCCAAGGGGCGCAAGCACACGAGTTACAGAAAGAAGAGTGTTTAAGTCTAAAAGCTAAGGAAATGAAAATTACATATTCTCTGTTCGAGAGTTTTGGATTCGATCCTTTCCTTCTATGTTATTTCTCCCTTTTATACCTCATAGACGATCTCTTTGCGATTAACTACTCTAAAAACTGCTTGATCGTCCTATAACTACCCACTTTCTTCGTAGTGGCCATTTTGTCATGAAACTGCCTTTTAACTGCTGTCATTACCTTTCATCGTTCAACCGCTTTCGATTGAATTCCTTGAGTCGTGGAACGTGATAGGGCTACTTTAACAACTGCCTTGATAACTGAATTTCTTGATAACCACGATGCGTTATGTCTGTTGATACCTTGGGCGACTTGAAGGTTTGAGCGAGAATAGAATAACAGCTTTGGGCGACCGTATGACACTCTATTCGTTCAGATTCTGGGCGACTTGCAAACTTGGGCGATGGCGTTACCGCATTCTTGGGCCCCCTTATTTGGGCCTTCACCTTGATTCGTTCGATTGGATTTCGTTTTTTGGGCTATCTGATTTGGGGATCCTCCAATTGGGCTTTACTCTTTGGGCTGTTCGATTTGGGCTGAACTTTTATATGTCAACAGTATGTAAACGACACATCATACTGTACAATCGTCTACAATAATACGAATCGAACGGGTTATAAAGCATTATCTATATACTTGGTATTTACGGATCCAGTTTGGCCAAAAGTTTTCTTATTAAAGAGAGATCAAATTCTTTATGCTCATACAGTAGTTACAATAATAATCAACTGTGATTTGCCCACTTCCCTGTTTCTTCTTCTTTTAATTGCATTCAAACTTCATTTCTACACAATGGACAGGTACCCCGCCGGAAAAGCCAGTCATCTATGCAGTGCAGGTGAAAGGAATGTCCACAGATTGGTAGCATTTTTGCACATTCCCCATCCCTGAAATCCTACATCCGAGACATAGAAAGAGAGATTTATATTAACAAAACTCGATGAATATTAAATAATCATCAATTGTATGTCACAAAATTGACAACGGCTCGTGAGTAATACACTGGTCAAATATGGACTAACATTTTTGATATGCTACATGGAAGGTCTCGCTTCTTGATGTACAAAATATATGTAATTTGTAAAGTTCAATCATATCGGATGAATTACATTTGGGACCGAGCTAAGGGAACACAATTATTGATATACGGGATGACCGAACACACACTCCTCGGAGATCGGACATTATTTAATTCACGTGTCAGGAATATGGATTTCCTTTTTTTTTTTTTTTTTTTTTTTTTTTTTTGAGTATTATTGTTATTGTTTATTTGAATTAAAGGGTAAAACTGTCTTTTCACGCCAATTTAACGACAGTGTTGGACAAAAACCATCATCATCGACCACTTCTTGCAAAACCGAGGAGCTTAGTGTAGAGAGAAAAAAAACTAAGCGGACAAAAGTGCAACGGGCTATAGATCTAATCTATTCAATTTTAGACTTTTTAGTGCTTGTTTGGGATAACTTAAAAAAGTTGAAATTAAAGTGGAAAATTAATTTTAACCAGGGACCCAAATTTTTTCACCATGCATTTAATCAATTTATATCAAAATCTTAGTCATACAATCCCTTATTGACTAATCTTAGTGCAACAGAGAACTCACCTGTAAGCAAATTGCACAAATTTTCTCTTGTGGCAATGTGTTCCTCTGTGCAGAATAAAATGTGTAATGTGGTAACTTCTTGATTATATCCTGAGGTAATCCTCTGGTTGCATTGACATCAAAAATGTCTGAAATCTCCAATAAAGTTGTATCTATATTGCTAATCTGAAGCATAAAAATAATCTCATTAATTATAAGTGGCAGCTAAATAAGCTGACAACAAACTGAAAAAAAGCCATTTATTTACACCTGCCATTGATAGGCTTTGAACACTGCAGGGCTCACCCATTCCATAAAGATCTTTCCATTCATTAGACTGCAGATTAGTGCAACCTGAAAAGTGATCCCCTGTTAATGAGCAAATTGTTTCTACTAATTTTAGAAAAAAAGTAAAAGTTACTTTGTGAATTACTTACTTTTTTAATAAAAAGGTTTTTTAAATTTTCAAAGCAAGTATCTAAACGAAAAAATTGACGTGGTAGTTTAGACATTTATCGACTAGACTGTAACATCGTCTTTTTCAATAGTCAAACTGACACACATAAAGACTCGATTGGAATAATGTTTAATGTCAGTGACTAAATATTGTTAGATGTCCATGATCATGAAAGTGACATGGTATCAATAGCATGTTAGAACTTCAAAATGTTATAAGAAAGTTTTAAGATAGGTAAGTTATGAAAACAAGTAAGAAATAAATTCCAAAATAAGTAATGTTAAAACCTTGGAAAATGGCTCTCCATCAACTATAAGATCCATCAATTGGACGGCTGTGATGGCCCCTGCCACCATGCCGATCCCGATTCCATGCAGTAGACCGGTTTCTGTAGTCTGGCCTTTGATTCCTCCTGTAACTGCTCCAATGGTAGCACCACCTAAATTGCCAAGAATGTGAAATTTTGATACTAAAATTATTTCAAGACAAGGATCTTGTGGATTAAATTCTAAATCCCTCTTTGCAATTGCAATAATAATTAAAAAGATACATAGTGCATATTTGGTTTGGATTAAAATCTAATTTTAATTTAAATCAATGTCAAATAATCAATATTAACCACATTTCATGGGTTTCACAACTTTTAAATCACACATTTCAAAAACATCTATCACAATCTACTAAAAAATTTAATTTAAATCTCCATCAAACATTCTCATAATAATTCAGTCCGTCCAAGAGTGAAATCCAATCGTAGTAAGTTTTCACTTTCTGGATTTTTCGTCACACCCCATAAATTGTACCCCATAAGGGAATGTTTTTACAATTAGAAACATGCTACATGAATGGATTTAGTTATATAATTTAAAATAGGGGGATACGTGTCATTTTTCCATTTGATAGTTAGGAAAAAAAAGTCAGGTGCTGCCAGTACCACATGTCACCAAAACCTGCCATTTTCCATGTTTGAGTAGCTTTATTCTTAAAATTACAACTTAACAAGAACATTTAGGACAATGAACAAACACTTCACCTGCCTTTCTTCGTACGTCTTTTATCGCACCCGATATAGTTTAACCCAACATACCAAATATATCACAAAATTGTAAGAAATTATTCAGTTCCATTCTTTTGAAAAAATGTATTTTTTAACAGTGTTTTGATATCATTTTAAACACACATTATTCAATAAAATAATATTACACGTAAATTCAAAACTTTTTCTTATGTTTTAACCACACATTTTTCATCAATACACTATTCAAAAATTCATTCTTTCCCAAAAAATGGGGCTCAAACAAGGGCTATATATATATATAATGGAAATTCGCATACCTAAAGCAAAAATACATGTAACTAGAGCTGTGGTAATTTTCTTCACCAGTACAAACAGAAGCCCAGATTCTGTAGAAACCGAAGAAAAGATAGAGCAAAACCACCTCTTCATCACTGTATAGAAGATCATTATACGTACAGAAAACTGTGTATCTGAGAAATCCTTGGGGAATATGTGTAACGTTTCAAGTACTAACAAGCATTTATAGAAGCAGAAGAAGTGCATTAAATTGGGGATGAGAAGAAGAACTACCACACACCTGCTCGTTAATGCAGAGTTTTTTAGCCATTAAGGCAACAAACCTTCTGTTCAAAGCTGCTTGTTTGGTTAGTTTAGGAAAAAAAATGTGTAATTACTTTTAAGTGCACTTTTGTCAATAAGCATGCCAATATTATTTTAAAAATTGGCTAGGATACCGGGAAATACCTCAAATTGACCTAAATAAAGGAAGGATTTTCCAAAATAGTCTTTGACTTTTCTAAACATTTTGAACTACCTAAAACACCCTTAAACAAATATTAAAAAACAACCCTTTATCTAATATAAATCTTCTATTTAAGTCATTAAAAAATTAACAAATAATTTTTCTAAAAATTTTTGAGAATTATTAATGACTAATTATAAAATAGAAAAACTCAAATATAAGAGAGGACCATATAATATAAAAAAGGTTGTTAAAAATAAAAAAGAAATTAAGTTTGAAAAAAAAATTGATAAGATAGGATATCAAGAACAATTATATGCATCACAAGAAATATTAAAATGCTTCAAAGAAAACTTATTAGAAAATTTTGCTAAAAGAATTGTTAGAACAATAATTATAAAAGATATACAAGATATCATAGATAAATTGGAAAAAAGGAAGAAAAATATTTCAAAATATGATATACCTTTTAGAACAGATATAGATATGATAACAGATATTGATATTATAAATTCTCAGACATTATTAGACTTTGAAGAATTACTTAAAAATCTATAAGAAGGCAAATAAAAAATAGATTAGTCCTTATCTTAAGATTTTATTTTAACAGTAAAATAAAAGAGTTTTTGGAATATAAAAAGTTTAGATTCATGATTATTAGATTTTTAGATTATTAGATTTTTGTTCGCTCATAGTAGCACCCCCACAGTTGGTATCAGAGCCATAGAGATCAAGAGAGAAAATATAAAAAATAAAATTATGATTTTAGAAATTATTGAAACTTATAAAAATAGACTAAGGTACCAGGTAAAATATAGTTCTAACATAGAAGGTTATATAGAAGAAGATAATATAGTTGGAACATATAGTAAAGATATAAATGAAGTTTTAAAAATTTTTAGAGTAATTAAAAATTTACCTTTAGAATTAAAAGAGAAAATAATTAAAAAGATATTATTTGAAGAATATAAGCATATATATATATATTAAGAGTAATCCAGAGGGAAATAGATTTTATAATAATCTGAAATTACTATGGAAATCATAAAAATAAATAATTATTATCAATGTATTGAAGAAAAGGGGAAAAAACTAAAAATATTTTAGAAAGGAAGTTAGAAAGAATAAGATTAATAAATAATAAAATTTTAGATGAATTATTAATACCGGGAGAAATAACTAAAATTCAAGAAAAACAAATATTAAAATTAAAACAAGAAATGTATAAAGAAAAAGCAAAGTATTATGAAAAATTAAAAGAGATAACAAATCTTGAAGTTATAAAACAAAAATATGATAAAATAATAAAAGAGTGTAAAAATGCTGAGTGTATAGTATTTTATTATTGTCAATCAAAAAATCGATAAAATGTCAATCAGTGAACATATGGAAGAATTAAAACATCTAATAAGAACATTAATAAATGATGTACAAGAAATTAAGAATGAAATAAAAGAAGCTAGAAATGATATAAATATATTGAAACTTGAAGTCAGAAAATTAAAAGAAAATGAAGAAAAGAATAATAGAGTAGATAAAAAATTTATAGAAAAAGAAATAACGAGAATAGGGAAAAAACATATTGATAGGAAAAATATAATAATAGAAACAGGAAGCATGGATGATGAGTTCAGAAAAAATATATTACCTAAAATAATAGAAAAAGAAGAATCTAGAGAAAAAATATTAGGTAAACAAAAAATTGAAGAAATTCAGGACAAAGAAGATGAATGAAGAATTAGATTTACTTATAGATAATTTTGATCATTTAAGTTTAGAAAGTATAGATGATGAATATCAAATCTTAATGAATATTGGAGGAGGACCTAATCCCGTAGGAACCTCTAAACAAGAATCAATAGATCCAGATGAAAGCTATGCTCCAATGTATAATAAACCATATAGGCAATTTTATGATAAAATAAGAGATAAACAACCGTCCAAAGGAAATAAATACAGTAATAGATTTGAATTAAATAATAATTATGATAAACCTGTTAATCATGGAGGAATAAAATTAGACTTAAATTGCAAAATAGATACTAAGAAAGCCTTAATAACTTGGGCAGACTCAATAATATTATTCTTTTTATATAATAAAGATGATACATGGGAAAATACTGAAAGAAGAATAGATTTTTTAATTGCATCTTTTGAAGGAAATGTTAGAAATTGGTGGGAAGGAATTAGTAGTGATACAAAATCATTAATAAAAAGAAATGTACAAACAGAAATAATAAAGTCAGATAAACTAGGAATAGAAAGATTGGTAGAATATATTGCAGATGAATTTTTAGGAGAAAATTGGTTAAGAAATTATGAAGAGGAAGCAATACGAGAAAAAGATAATGCAAGAGTTAAGTTAATTAATCTAACAATTTGTGATATGTGTAAAATTAAAGAATATACTTGTGAATTCAAGGAATATTATTATATTCAATTTTATAGTAATGAGAATCAAGAAGTATATCAAGATATGTATTATAATAAATTACCAGGTTCATGGGGGATATATTTTAAAATAGAATTTGAAAAATATACTAAAGAAAATATAGGAATACCTAGAACACTAGGATTAAGAATAAAATTCTTATTTGAAAGACTTGCATATATATGCCAACAAAGATAATTATTGAAAAAATCAGGAAAATTAACTAGAATATGTTGTGAAGATATGGAAAAACCTATAAGATGGGAATATAATTCAGAAAAAAATAAAAGAAAATATAAAAATAGGAAGTTTAAAAAATATAGAAATTTTAAGAAAAAATACATAAAACCTGGAAGGAAATATTATAAAAGGAAAAATAATATACAGAAAAATAAACCTTATAAGAAAGATAAAAAACAATGTAAGTGTTGAAATTGTGGAGAAATAAGTTATATAAGCCCTGATTGTACAAAGAAAAAAGTAAGAATATTACAAAATGATTATTTTGAAATAGAAAGCAAATTAAGTGAAATATCTGATATTGAAAATTATAATAATCAAGAAATATTTATAAGTGAAGTAGATTCAGAAGATTATGGATCAGAATCTGAATAGAGAAATTGAAGAAATAGAAAATAATAACATAGAAATCCAAAAATATGAGAGAATAGAAGGTTATGGATTAAAAGTAACTTTTGATAGTAATAAATTTAAGAAAATACAAAAGTTATCCTTAGATTTAAAAATAGGAAAATGGGAAATTCTAGATAGAATATGGAGAAGAGAAAGAATAGTAATAAATGAATACCATAAGATTGAAAAAACTATAGATGTTAGAACTACTCAAGGAACACATAAAATAAACCTTTTAACAAAAAATACAGTATCAGAATTATTATCAAAAATAAGTAAAAAGCATAGTGAAAAGATCCAATATGTTTATTTAGCAGGAATACAAATAATGTTTAAATCCTTATTTAGAGAAGGAATAGATTCACCATTAACTATAAGTTTACATGATGGAAGAATTATAAATTTAGAAGATGGTCATTTAGGAACTATAGAAGGAAACTTAGCATATCAAAAGTTAATATTTACTTGTTACCCAAAATACTGTGTCTCATTAAAAGATAAAAACTTTAATGAAGTTTTAGGATTACATTTCAAATTACATAGAAATGATATAATGGAACCAGGAGATCAAATTATGACTATGGAATATAGAGCATTATATACATTTACCAATTCTAATTATGGGAATATTTATTCCAATAAACCATATATAGAAATTCATAAAGAATGTAAAGATATTAGTAAAATAGTGGAACCAAACAAACAAATAAATCTTATCCCAGAAGAATATGAATTTAATATAACTAAAAATAAGACTGAAATAACAGAGTTAAGAGAAGAAGAAGACTATAAAATAACATTTCATAATGGAAGGTTGATAAAGAAATCAAAAAGTCTTAAACTACCAAATAAAAAGGAATATTTGGGAGAAACTAGTGGTATAAAAGAAATAAAACCTCATGGAAATA